ACAAAATGCGTCGTATTCAGCACATGATATTGAACAATTTCTTGAAGACATTGGAGCTCCAGAAAGAGTGAAGCCTTACAAATCGCGAATTTTGCCTTTGGTGGGAAAATTTGTGGCTCCTGAAGTGCCCATTACTTGCATAGTTGGCACTGGTGTGGAGACACCGGAGACCTTGTTGTATGGAGAATGCGGCTTTGATGAGCAACCTGAGATTATTTATGGAGATGGAGATGGAACAGCGAACATAATTAGCTTATTGTCTGTGGAACTGGAATGGGCAGATAATAGAAATCAGACCCTTAAGGTGACTAAACTTCCTGGGGTTTCTCATACTGATATACTGCAGGATGATGCAGCACTTGGTGAAATACTAGGACAAATTAACAGCATCAACTCTGAACTCTGAAGTCACTAGTATCTCATTCTCAGAATATTATTCTGAGAAGTCAGTAATGGCTGTAATCGTCTATCAATTGAGCTGATTCCCTCCGAAACAACTGCAGAAAATCAGCAAGAAAGCAGGAGCAAACATTTGCATGAAAATGATGTCTTTCCCTGTAATTATTTTTTTGTTATGGGCAGGGAACTATAACATGTTACGTTTCTTATATGATTTGGCAAATTTATACTATTATATTAGGGTGCACATTGATTTTGTTGTGTATATCAAAATTTGTATCAGGTGCAACCCTTCAAGGTCAAGGATGTGTATACTAAGTGTTGATAATGTACTGATATGAAGCACAATATGGTATGGTACATGTAGCAAGTTCGGCTAAATATTGAAAATGCATTGGATAATTTCAATGACTATCCCACTTACACATTTTTTTCCTATTAACATAGAAAAGAAGTGATTTTCACTCTTTTTTATCCCTAAATTTTTCTAAAATCCCTAAATATATCTGCAATGTTTAAGTTCAGAAAATAGTTCTTCTGGTCACAGTAGTGTAGTTATGTATTCTTGTGGTCAGTGAGGAAAACCGGGCAGGGCAGGCCTCTTAAGGAAAAAAGATTATTGAAAAAGGAAGACATCCATAACTTTTATTATTCCATTTTTGTACCCAAACACAGCTTCTTTTAGATGCCGAGAGTGACAACAAAGAAGAGAAAAGTGAAAGAAAAGAAATCCCATTTTCAATTCTTGAATCTTGATCAACCCCAAATTCACAAATTAGTAAAATGATCAGCCCAATGCCGGCCAATGATGAAGTGGTGGACCCAGCCTAAGTCATCAAAAACCAAAAAGAAAATCTCTGACACAAAAAGAAATGATGATCAATTGATCATCCATCAATTACTATTAGAGACAAATCACCCACGTAGAGACACTGACGGACGCAGAAGACGACGCCGTCTTTTAAATAAAATTCTCTCTCTCTCTCTCTAGCGTTCCCCCTGCAACCTCGATCCAACTCAATTTCAAAAAAAAAAAAAAAAAAGGTAAAAACAAAGAGCAAAAGGCCGGTTTCGTCCCAGGCTGCAGCACCGTCAGCCATGTCATGGTTGGCTCGCTCCATAGCCAACACTCTCCGCCTCGATGACGACGACGACGATGCTGATGCTGACCGACATGAATATGATGCTGGCGTAATCAAGAAGCCTCAGCAACAGCACTTAAACGACGTCGCTCAACATCACACCTCAATTTTCTTGCATCCCGCCGAATCCCTCGATTTAGAAGAAGTAGACTTAGAAGATCGCCCCGGGAAAAGCAATAGTTATCATAGTAACAGTAATAATAACAATGCCGTCGGGGATGATAATAGCAATTTCGAGGATATAGGCGATCGGAGTACGAATAATCAAGGGCGAGGGGTAAAAGAAGATTTATCTGAATTTAGGGAAACCCTGACGCGCCAATTATGGGGAGTTGCTTCATTTCTAGCTCCTCCTCCTCCGCCTCCGCCACCTCCTCCGCTGCCGCGACCCAGGAGCTTCAATTGGTTAGAATCGGATCGGAGAAGAACGGAGCTTGCGGAGAGGTCGGCTTCGGGTGATGAGGAAATGGACGGGCAATTTGGGCAATTTCGGGGATTTCCGCAAAGTTTTTTGGAAGTGGGGATGCCGGAGGAGGAGGAGGAGGAAGACGATTTATTAGCCGACGCGGTGGGGATAACGGAGGAAGCTTTGGACTTTGCGGAGAATACGGCTCATCATCCCGAGACCTGGCTGAATTTTCCCTTGCCGGAGGAGGAAGAATTTGATGGTAATTATATGTTGGATCTTTTTAATTTGTATGCATCAATAATGTGGAATGCAGCTCTTCCCAGAAGTTAAATTTGATTTTCAAACTTGACTTGCTACTTGCAATGTGATGTCAAGTTACAATCTTTTTGCTTTCTTGTATTGAATTTTGTTATCTGTTGATAAAGTTAAGGGGAGTGTATTTTGGTTGCTGCTACAGATGCATCATCCGTTAATCATACAGGTGGAACTAGAGGGTCAAGTGGCAGTTGACCTGACGATCATTTTTTGTTTGGATTTTTGAAATGGAGCATTTGTAGAACGAAGGTGATTGGTTTAGCAGTGGAGGAAAGTATTAAATTCGTTTAAAAGAGGAGATTAAGGTGGTGTTAGCGTAGGGTGCTTTTTGGTGGTTTATGGAGAGGGTGGGAGAGGTGGGCAGAGGTTTTGTAGTGTGTGAAAGGGGTTGAGATTTTGATGTGTCTAGCAAAGGGAGGAAGAGGGCAATGAATGCCAAAATTTTGATGATGCCAAATCTTTGCTCCTCTTCCTTGTGCTCCTTCGATTACTTTTGGGAGCAAACAATACTTTGGGGTGTTGAGGGAAATCTCTGATAATGGAGTGACAATGAAAATTTGGATAATGTTCAAAGTGCTGACTCAACTCTTGGCTACTTCTTTTGGTTACTCTTAGGGGAATGGATTTTATATGTATAGAGATGCTTGTCATTAAGAATGTTGGAATAGTTCTTGATTTACATGCCAGGCTTTATGCAGTATGATCTATGCAAGCATGCTCGAGCAATTGAACATCTATGAGGAAGTTATGACTTCACTTCTTACATTTATTCATGTGGATTCTATAACTATTGCAATTATTTGATATGCCTTTCTTTTATTTCTTCAGATTTTGAAATTTCTGATCTCCAGTTCAAGCATGCTCGAGCTATTGAACATCTTGCACCTAGATTAGCTGCTCTCAGAAGAGAGCTTTGCCCTGCCCATATGACTGAAGGCTACTTTTGGATGGTCTATTTTGTTCTTCTGCATTCGAGACTTGATAAACATGATGTTGATCTTTTGACTACACCCCAGGTATGTTAGCATTGCTAGGCATTCATTTGATTACGCTTGTGGATTTTTATCGAAGGAGTTCACATATCATCAATTAGTTTTAGCATTAGTTGACTGGATACAGTCCTGGGGCAGTTAACTATTAATTGTGGATTTGATATGCTTTTCGTTTAGCCATTAATGGTTTTTTATTTTTATTCTATTCCATGTAACCAAAACAACATAAAGAGAATAACAATGAGAGTACTAAAATAAAAAGAAACCGGCATGGTAGAGGCGCTTGAGGGCAAGATATGTCAAATTTGGGAAAATAAAAAGATTTAAGAGCCTCTGCTCTTCTGTATTGAAGTAATTATCAAGTGCAGATTGATAATTGCGCAATCTGCTAACGAATAGTACAGTAAGCACCCTAATTTAATCTGATAAAGGACCCGTGTTGATTTTACATTGAAAGTACACTTCTGGTGGATTTTGTGAAACTGCCAGCAGCAAGCAAGTTAAATTAAGTTGCATGCACTGATTATTGATTTGATTGGAGCCAAAAGCAATTTACATTGGTGAGATGTTAGGACCAGTGTAAATATCAAATGGAAGCAAGTGAAGTATTTTTCTTTCAATAGTACGTTACAATTTTCCTTATCTCACTTTGCAGTTGGTAAAAGCAAGGACCATGTGGATGCATGAGCTCCAAAAGCAGACAAAGCCAGAGTCACATTGGCTTGGAAGAGATACTTTTGACTTGGAAGAAAGAAATTACTTTCCTTATGAAAGTTTCGATGTTGCTTCATGTGAAGACAATACGCCCAGATTCATGTCTCAGACGGCATTTCCTCTTGATTCTACAGCTTTGCTGGTGACTAGTGACTCTGAGCCCGAGAAACATCCACATGAAAGTCGTGAAATTCAGTTCATTGATAAAACTGGGCATGAAGAGAATCTAACAAGTGCGACAGGGAATGAGTTGCTATCTGGTCCACCCCATAAAGTACCAATTGAGGAATATGATGAGCATGAGGATGACTGGCTAGATGATGACTCAGAATTAGAGGGCTACACGGGAACTGCAATCACTTTGGTAAACGAAGAAGATGTGTCATTCAGTGATCTTGAGGATGACCTTGATACAATGCCTATAAAATCCAAAGTTCTTGTAAAGGACTAGACTTCATAGACCAAAATCTCATGAGCGGTGGCTTCCACTAAGCAGGAGCGTTTGACTTGCTCAGACTGTTTCCGCTGGAAGTCCTTGTCTCTGGAATCTGGAAATCAGTGTGACAAAGCATTTGCAAAGAGATGCACTTGAATGTGCACCAGCATGATTGAAAGTCTTTGAGCTTCACTGCACCAGAACAAGGACAAATATTCAACCAATTGATGTGGTTTTGGTGCCGATCTCAAGGGTATTGAGATATTTTGGAGTTCCAGGTGAAGTATTGTGGGAGATGACAGTGCTCTGTGCGCGTTGTATGCTGTATATCAGCCAAGCTTTCCCAAATGGAGTCATGTTTAACTGGATTAGTTGGTTTCCGTTCTTATCCCTTTCTTCATTTGTTATTACCTTACACTCCATCAAATGTAATTATTGTTGTAAAGGTTATTCGTCAAAAGCTGAAATAACTGGAGAACAAATTCCAAAATGTGTGTCCCTTGCAAGCCATGAAAATGAAAGTTTTGGTATAAATACGGTTTTCTATTGGTCATTAGTTTTCACACTTACGGATTGAACTTGCATGCTGTTGCTTGCTCGCTCATTAAATCTTTTTCAATTTTATTACTCTGTACTAAACAAATTACAAATCAACTTCAAAATTGGATATCATTTCTGTCTAGCTTGTCATCCATAACACAGGAGGAATATTGCTACAAACAGTTTTTATTAGTGGAGAAGCATCTCTACAACCTGTCTCATGGTTGGCCTAACTTTTCTATCTTCCTCAACACAATGTAAAGCAACCCTAACTAGTAATGCCATTTTTCCTTTATCACATTGAGTATTGTCCAGCAGGGGGTCTAATATTTCATCAATCCAGGATGTAATTTCACTATCTCCCTTTACCATTTCCCTAACCCACTCAATCAATGTTTTCTCGACCATTTCTCCTCCGACACCAAATGTTTGAACGTGCATTTTGGGGCTCCTTCCAGTCACCATCTCCAGCAGGACCACTCCGTAACTGTAAACATCAACTTTTGAAGTGATGGGAAGATTGCCAATCCATTCAGGAGCCATGTAGCCTCTGGTTCCCCTGATCTTTGAAAAGCTCAAATCATTAACCTCAGCTCTCCTCAATAGCTTTGAAAGTCCAAAATCTGCTAGCTTTGGGTGGTAGTTGGAGTCCAAAAGTACATTCTGAGGCTTTATATCACAGTGCAAAACCCACTCCAAGCACTCTTCGTGTAAATAAGCAAGGCCTTTTGCAGTGCCTAGAGCAATTTCAAACCTCATCTTCGAGTCAATCACAGTACAATGCAAGTTTTCGGCTAATGAACCGTGTTCCAAGTACTCATACACCAAAAGCCGGTGTTTTCCCTCTGCACAGTATCCCCATATATCTATCAAGTGCATGTGGTTAAGCCTCCCAATAATGCTCAACTCTGCTAAAAATTCTGCTTCATCTTGGTTAGCTTCCTTGAGTCGCTTAACTGCTGCCACACGATGATCCAACAGCACACCTTTATACACTATCCCACTACCCCCTCGTCCTATCTCTTCACCAAAATTTTTAGTAGCTTTCTTTAGCTCACTAAAGGAGTATTTTCTGAATCCTGTTGACAAATGCACGTAAGGTTGCTTATCTGAGGTCCTGCGAGATCTATACAAGAAAAACCATACTGAAACAATGCAGATCATCTCAAGCAATCCCAGAGCAGGGACAAACCAGAGCAGAATTCTTACTGATTCCCTCTCACCTTTCTTCTTGTAAGTCCTGTTCAATGTTACAATGCTTGAACTTGAGCAAATTAAGCTGGATATTTTTGCTGGCTGGTCAATGGCGAGTGCAAGGGCCTTAGGCTGTTTCAAATGAAGCATTCCACTGTAAGTAGGCGATATAAATCCATTACGAAAAGCTCTTTAGGATAACAATCATACACTCCGTTTTCCTTGTTGAATCTGTACTGGAATCCTTTGCACTTGCGTGATTCATTGCATATCTTCTCACATTTTTCCAATGTACAGTTGTGCAAAATGTCAATATTATATCCATAGAAATTAACATGAGGAAGCTTGATATATGTTACCTCTCTGCTGTTGCATGGCAGCTGATACTCAGGCTCACATCCATAAGCCCAGTCAGTGTAATTTTTAACTCTGTATCCTTGAAGACAAGAACACTTTCTGCCACTCCTAGGATAATGGCTGCACAAACTGTTGGGACCACAAACACCATGAATCCATGAAGCAATCCAACTCCTTGTAGTGGTATCAAGGCTGTATAAACGAAAGTTACCATCAAAATCAAGGGTCAACCTTCTCTGTATGCCAGGACCATAATCATCAGCCCTGAACCCAACTCGATCAGATGATTGGAAGTGACCCCATGAATCGAGTACCGCAACCCTGCTGTCATTGTACCTTGTTCTTCCGGCTTCAAAGCTTAACAACCAAGGGTCAGGCCAATAGATGCTAGATGTCTCAGGGCCATCGAAAACCAGACGTAGGACATTATCATCATCAAAGAAAAGCTTATAGAAACCTGAAGAGTAATTATTTTGGCTCCTTGATGAAATTAGCCTTGTGTACCTAGTTAAAGGTTGTCCTGGGAGAAGAGTGTCCGTAGGAACATCAAAACTCTGCCACAGAACATTATCCTTTTCTGTCAGGACAAGGTTTCCATTGTTTTGAAGGAGTATCTGAACAAAAGAAGCTGACACTGTGTTAGTCGCCCAAGAAATGAACTTACTGGCATCAGATAAGATGAGATTACCATCCTTGAGTAGAGTGAGCTTCGAGTGTTTTCCATTTACAGGGTGGTCTCGGTTAGCCATCCACACTATAGTGCGATTACTTAGCTTTTCAGTAAACCAAATTGCAAAAGAGTAAGCATTGATGCCAACAGAGTGGAACCCAGCCGTGAATAGACCATTTGGAGAAATCAAAAAGTCCTCTTGGTTTTCGACCGATAGAGATGAGCCCTTCGTCAACCGACTATATGCAAAAGCTCCTGGAAATGAAAAAGCAGACGACCAGAACAACAGCAATAGTAGAAGACTGCCTAACATGGCTAACTGTGCATGGAGCACAAAGAAAAGCTTGGAGGAACTCTGAGAGCTAAAAGCAAGGATTTTTAGTTTGTTATTTTCCAAATTTAGTCAATCTTTTGAGAAATATATAGGAATTCGCATGGTTTTTTTACCAAACTTGAATCCAGAAATGCTTTTGGTTGAGGAGACAAACTAACTAACCGAGCATGGATGGAATTTTTTTTTACCAAGTAATGATGGAGGTGTTATTCAACATAGGTAACTTCATTGAATTCAGAGGTTACTTGTCAAAGTTTGGTACTTGGACCACAGTATGCATGAATTTATTGGAGCCACTGCCATATAACACAGGCAATCAGTAAGTACGAGACTCGAGTGGGACCTTGTCGTTGCGAAAAGTCATGGACGGAGACTTTCTTAACAAAATTGTAATTTACCAATTCAAATTCACTATTACCTTATTATCACATCATAAAAAAAATGCTACAATATTATTCTAATTTTTTCCTGGAATAATCTTCAATCTAAACACACTCACTATTCGTAGCAAGAAAAGAGTGCCATTCCTCTTTACTTCTTCAATTGGTGCAACTTCAGAGACAAGAAAAAAGAAGTGAATTTTTTTTTAATAAAAAGGTGGCAATCAGCAATCAACTAACCACACATATGAGGGTCAGGTGTATCGAAGAAGGTAGTGCACAGAAGCCAGTTAACTAAGTTTAGCTTAGAAAGTTTTCTCGTGCACTTCACTTGCAAGCTACAGATAGCAGCATATGAAGGTGAGGCGTCTGGAAGAATGTGTTTTACAAGAGCCAGATTCACTTCTTCAGCTTAAAAAGTTTTGTCGTGCACTTAAAACTTTCAAACTACAAATAACAGCGTATGAGGGACCAGGGCTGCAGACGAGTCGAGTTGAGTTTTGAACTTATCGAGTCGAGCTACATTTGTTAATGTGGAAATTCGAGCTCATCGAGCCAAAAAAATGAAGCTCAAGTTCGACTTAGTTTAGGAAAAGGAAAGTTCAAACTCGACTCGTTTCTAGCTAGCAAGCTTGGTTTGATTTCTAACTCACAAGCAGTTCGAGATGTCAGCTCACGTTTCGCTCGACATTTTGACTCGTGAGGAGCTTGAAGTCAGCTCGATTTTAATTGATGTAGATACATTTTTATAATTTCACATTAACTCGAGCTTTTTGAACAACTCATCAAGCAATCGAGCCTGACAAATGGCTACTCGAGTTTGACTCGTATATGTTAATTCAATTGACTCGAGTCAAGCTTTGACTCGCTCGCGAGCAGGTCCAGTCAATTGTAGCCTTATGTGGGACGCATTCAAGGACGTATGCAGTAGATCTTTCTTGTCATTCAATTCAACTGGAGGAAACTTGTGGTCATCCAAGTAAATGTTTCAATGTGCATAATGGAGACGGATTCCAAAGTAAGTTTGGAGCTACTAAGCTACAATGCCCCTGATAGTGCCGCATCACACTCAGCTAAAGCAGATTAGGAAGTTCTTGGACCAGCAATGGGAACGCAAAGCAGCAGTACCAATGGAGAGAAGGAAATCAATGTGCAGACATCTTAGCCAAGGAAAGTCTAAATTCAGACCCAGGAGGAAAGTTTCTCGATGCTCCACCAGATGACTTGAGGAACCTGCTAGCTCGGGATGTTATGGGCGTTCCTACGCCTAGACTAATCTCTATGTAATAGAGCCTTAGGCCTCCCATTAGACCCCCAAAAAGAAAAAAAGAAAAAAAAAAGTGGATTTTTCCAAATTCACATCACAGAAACGGGTGCTACAGTAAATTAAAGACTTTTCCTCGAATAAAATAGTGCTTGCCACCCCGCCATCTTCTTGGAAAGTGCTGATAAAGTGTATTCAAATGAAGTATTCCAATTCAAAGCCGGAAGCTTGTCCAAAAATTGATTTAAAATTAGCTGAAAATGGAAAACTTGGAGCTGGCTAATTAGGTCCTCTTAGCCTGCGGCACCAAGACTAGTTTGATAGTCTAGCAATTAGAGCAAGTTCAGTGAAGAGCTATGAGCTAGAGATGTCTCTAATTCGTCAACTGATATCTCATCCAGAAGCAGTGCATTTTGCATTTACTTCAAACTGACAAAAAGTTTCAGTTATCATATACCTGTATCGGTTGTTGCATAAACTGAGACAACGAAGTACAGCAATCAGCAGAAAATGTAAATTAAACCAAGGAGTCTCGGGTTGAATAAACATGCATTTTTGGCAAACAATATGTAGTGTTCATATCAGTAACTAACTCATACAAACATCCAAGAAGAATAAGAGGTATATCAGGTGCCAGAAGATGAAGAAAGCAGCAAAAAAGAACTGCAAATGATCCCAAAAAATTCATCTTCAGCCACATAGCCTATATTTACAGACAATCATACCAAAGTTCCAACTCAGGCCTCTTGTTTCTTAATGGTTAAATCAGAGATTTCTGTGGATTGCTGAGCAGCAGCAAAGAAACTACTTTGGTTCTTCTGAAGGAACCTGCACTCCAAATACCACATTTAGGAGAAGAAAACCATGTGTGAAATAAGAGAAGCACATCGTCGCCAAAGAAAATCGGAATTATGTTTATATCCTACTCCTCTGATGCCATCCTAAAAATATAGGTGAAAAGGGAATTATGCTGTAAAAACAAACAAGGGTGCAGAAAGATTTTATACTTGAGAAAGTCCACCAAGTATTCTTGCAACTCTAATAGTATTGTGTCCTCAATATCAGCGCTGTGTAATATATCGGGCAATTTAACTGCAGAGAACAACAAAATTGATTAGGTAGAGAAAGAATCACTCCAGCAGCAAAGACATCTAATCGTATCCCTAAAACAATGAGCAGCAAGACATAAGCTTATGAACCTAGAGGTTTAGACCTAGCAGTTGATACCAGGCATGTGCATATAGTAGGAGAACCAGCAAAGACTCCCTATCCTGTCTCATCCCTGTATATTGATGAGTTTACCAAAACATATATACCAGATTTATAAACATTGTCAGTTTAACCCAAAAAAAAGTTAAACTTGAGAAACTGTTTTCCGATAAACTTCGGTTATTAAAACAAAAATGAATTCACAACAAAAAGACCTGGAAGAAATAACAGCATAAAAATTTACAATCAAGTCAGACATATATACAGTTTTTTTTTAAATTTTGTAATCAATTTTTTGGTCTGCGAACAATTACTCAAGCAGCTTCACAAAATGACCATAATCAGGTAGAAACAAACATTGTTGCTTATCAGAATTACAGCAAATCAATTTGGAATTTCACAGAATTTGAATATTAACATATTCCAAATAAGCTTAAAAGCATTGACTGAAAAATACAATTGCTAGTTCTAAAGCATAAAAGATTAGTTGATAGCAATTTCAGGCATTTCTCTCTCTGAATTTGATGAATCACGCTCAAGTCCAGAACTCAATGACCATATACAATCATAAACTATACATTACATTTCAAAGCAATTCTGTATAGATTTATTAATCCTCCTTTGTAGTCCAATTTTCCATAGACTGCAACACAACATTTTTGCTGTGGTACAGTGGTACTTACTGTTGATTCTCAGCAGACAAATTTGGAAAAAAAAAGGTACTTAGGTTTCAGCACGAAGTACAAGCATACCAAATAGCCTCAACAAATGTTCAGCTCCATATACAGCTGAAGGGGCAATATTATCTGTTATTGCTTCTTCATATTGCTGCCGCTCATTCTTGTAAAGCAGCATTGCAGGCAAAGCTTTATCGAAGTAGCGATGCAAACCATTGACTACTTCTCCAACAGAACCAGCTAACCTGCATCCATCCCTAAAAGCAATGCAAAATAATCAAAAGAATATAGTCAGTGATACTCATCAATGAAAGAAAAGCAAAACTTTTCCATCACTAAAAATTTGCTGAAGTTTTGCTACAAGAGACCAGATAGGAGAAAATGCTAAAGCAGGTTGAACAAAGAAAGATTCACAATGGAAGTATGCCTATCTTTGTGTTTGACTTAACATGCTCCACAACTAAAATCATCCAACATTCTCTCTCCAGATGGATATCAGCTCTTCCTTTCCATTTCTAACTAAACAGTTACTGAGTCATACATGCAAAAAGTACTGAACTAAAAATTCAGAACCGTACAATATCAATACAGAAACAGACACCTCGAGTAACTTGGGACCAACTCCTACAGGCCTAACTTAGGACCAACTTCTAAAGAGAAATTCAGACATCTGCCTTTTGTACAAACCCTTTTATTGATTCCTTACTTATACCATATCTTGCATTGGCATTTGCTCCTGAAGAATAGTCTAACCACCATGTATACCCTGGTGCACATTATGAGTCATGATTTACCAAAGTACCAAGCAAACAAATAATCCAGTCAAAGTTCCAACCCCAAGGCTGTCAATGTCATCTAGATCGATATGTATGATAGGCTAGTTGCACCTCAGTAGAGCAAAAGATAATGTCCAAGCAGTCTAGATCTCTTTCACCATCAGTTCATAAAAGGATTTTGATAAAAACTTAACAAACTTCCTCAATTGTAGATTCCAATAGAATAAAACTTCAGGAAATTCAGAAAAGGACATTCTATAAGCATCAGTATCTAAAGTTGAGATTTCAGATTAAAAAAAGAGATAGGAACAAGCAGCAAGCAAATAACAAGGTTAAAAAACAAGAGGACTTACCCATCGTCCTTCTTGAGCCGGTAATCATAATACTTGCTCAAGACTTCATCAACATTTGGAGAGCTAGGAAGTTTGACTAGCTACAAGAGACAATGTACAGCAAAGACAAGTTGAAATACATGAGAAAACAAAAAGTTCATTTAATATATTGCATAAATAGCTTCAGAAGTACCACTTTATTAGACACAAAAATTAACATTGGATACAACATTCCTTGCATATTTTCAGGAAAATTAGGAAAAATTTATCATCTGAAAAGCCTTATGTCTCTTAAAGTAATATAAGACACCAAATGCAAGAACTGGAAGAGAAGATGGATAAAGTTTTTTATCACTCTAGAGCCCAATATCTCTGTACCTTACATATTTAAGGAATCAAAACCACGAACAATGATTCCATATACACTTTAAGCTACATGGTACTGAAGTTCAAGTTCAAAGGATGGAACATCCCAGCATAAATGTACTTGCATGAAACGGAAGCAT